TAATCGCTGCGCCACTCGACGTTCTACTCGACAATCTCGAGTGGTCCCATGGCACGAGGGAGAAACCGATGAAGGCCGCAACGAATCTTGAATGCCCTTCAAGCGAACGACTGTTCAAGCCAGGACTTGAAGCTATCATTGGGGATGATGGGAATGTTGGGGTTGATGTTGAAACATGACAGCCATTGAAGCCACAACGAACCTCGAATGCCCTCGTCCTTATGGCATTGAAAGCTTGCATTGGCTGGGGGTTGCAGGGCATATTAGAGTTGAAGTGGCTTGCTGGCTGCCGAACTATCGAGGCAATCGATCTATGCGTCCTTACGAACGAGATTCTGGAAGCCAAGTCCGCCACCTCCTTCCTCCTTCCCCCTCCCCCCTTCCCATTGTGCCCTTTATTCCATTGAGCAGCTTTTCCCCAGCTGCAAGTTAAGTGGAAACGGAGGGGAGCGACGGCTTCTGCGAGTATTTGTGTTTGCTTTGGTTTGGGTGTTGACTTTGACATTTGTTTTGTATGGCTTATCCTTCAGAGTCCCATAGTCCCAGTCCCACATCCTCCTCCTCATCCTCATCCCCCGCATATATCCCATCCCCACCACAATGGGGCATCAATCGGCGCGTATTTTTTGCCGTCTATTTAGCCAAGTTTCGTTTTTCATTGTGTGGACTTTGTGGATGTAGCTACAATGGCTTTTAAATGGCCGCTCGTGTTTCGCCAGTCGCAATCGCAGACGCAAGCCGGTCCCCCGGATCCCCGGACCCTTGCTTGTAGCACTCCTATTTCATGGCTGCCTACTTTACGGGCAATAAAATCGCAACGCCTAAGGCGTCTCTCCATCTCCCCATCTCTCTATAGCTCTGCCTCTCTGTCTGTCCCTTCCTCTGCCTTCGAAATCGTTTACAGCCGGCAGCCTGGCACATTTATCTATGGAACTCGAAATTGAAAAGCTTCTCCGGCTCTCTCCGGGTATGTGTATCTGTTGGATTTGCACTGGAGAAAGCAAAAATTAAATATGTAAAAGTATAGGCAATGCATAGGGACTGGGACTGGGGCTTTATTCATGTGATTTATTTGCAGACAGCGTGACAAAATCGGACGTGGATTCCATTAAGAGTTCAAGTGTGTCACCGACTGCATTGACGGGCATGTGGATGCTGCCACTGCCACTGCCACTGCCACTGATGATGTATCCATCAAAATAAATCGCCTTTTATCAGTGCACAATTTATGCATTAAAACGAGCCGGCGGGCAGATATTTCCGACACTCGAATGTTGTTTTACCGAACGCCCTGCCCCGTTTTCCCTCCGCGACCTCTGATGGCCAGTGTTTTTATTCCAGTCAAGCACCTTGTCAACACAAATGATTTCACAAAATAAAGACCAAAAAAGAAATATTACAATTAAATTAAAATTGCTTTTCACAAAGTCCCTCAAAAAAAAACTGAAGAATCATCGGCAGAGCGCTGGGTGTTTGTCCAGCGGAGTGACGCAAGCAATTGAATAAAATTGAAGAGTGTCTCTCTCTTTTTTGCATCCATCATTCATCATCGGATATGTATAGCCCCCTCGGCTAACTCAATAAATACAGACAATCAAAGTTTTAAATTGGAAACATTTAAATTGGTGCCCTTCCAGCTCATAAAATCTGTCGAAAATACAGCCAAACAAATTCGCAGAGCAACGTGAAACAAGGCACTATGGTCGACAACTTTCCCAATTTTAAATGAATTAACTCCGAAAACTACTGCTCTAAATATTTTGGAGTATCAAAACATGTGAATTCTAAGAATTTCCAAGATAAATCGGAAGTAGAAGAAGTAGGTTTTTATTCTTGCATTTAATTTCCGATAAAAATCGATATTTTGGCAATTGATTTGAGCCGAAGGAAACATATATTGTTGCATCTACGAATACTGCAGGAATTTGTACAATTCCTATCGAATTTGCAATCAATTAAAATGAGGCTTTCTCGGCAGGCTTTAGTACTGAAATATCCATTGTTTTCTTACTGAAAATTCTTCGAAATTGAGGCTTCAATTTGCCCGTCTTTAAAATCTTCTGCCAGACATATGGAATTTCATTTGCCCAGGGAGAAACTGAGAGGGAATAAGATTTACAGGGAATGGAATTAAGCGAAGGCAATTTGCACAGGGAAAAAGACTCTTCCAAACAGCAACAGAAACGAAAGCAATTCGCTGCAGCTCAGGTGTGTGGCAACAGCATCCCGACGGGGCGGGACACAGTGTGGCTGTGGGGGGGCGTGGCAATTTGCCAAAAGCAAATAAGAAGCGACATGCTCGCATTTCGCTCGGAGAAAGGAGAGAGCTCTTTGCGCGTGTCAAATGAAAAGTTCTGCTTATTAAATAAAAATAAATGCAAGTTAATTAATTAAAACTTTAGGCGAGATAGAGCATGCACGAAAGTTCTTTGTTCCTGCCCCATGTGGCTGGAAAGTGTGCTGAGCTTAATTAGCCGGGGCCACAATGGTTCCTGCAACAGGGGCGGGGGAAGGGTTAGGTCTGTCGGTGCAGCCACTGGACCGGGGGCTGGGGGCGGGGGGCTGGGGGCTGCTTGCAGCTGGTTCATTGATGTTTCGCCCACACACAGTCGTGTCGTGTCGTACACAAGTCCGGGTGCGCGTAATTTGGCAACAATTTGGCTACAGAAACCCAGAAGAGCGGCCGGCGAGGCCGTCCAATGCCAAGAAGAGGCACAACGACACCTAGAACAGCGAAGACTATATGTAAATTGTAGAAATTGAATTTAAGAAATGATTTTCATGACATTAACATTGGCATTGGGCCGGGGCTGAAGCGGCCGTTGATGCTTCGGGCACTAACTGCACGATGGAAGCGAAACACTCGGAGATACATAGATACGTAGATACATAGATACACGGATGCAGATTCAGAGATAGCCGTGCGACAGCTGCGCATCCGAGGGGTTCCATGGATGCTGCTTCCGCTCTGCTCCCGAGCGACTGTCATCGCTTGTCGCTCATCCGCTAACCTTCTGCGATTCCGCCTCCCATGACCCGCTGTCGCATTCTCTATGGGCATGGTTTCAGCCCTGCCCCGCCTATGTCCCCGTCCCCCTGCTCGAGTACTTGAGCACCCATTAATAAACTTGGATTCCCATCTATTTATACATGAAATTGAAAGAAATTCATTTTGCCACAAAATTAATTATACACCCACACGACTTCGGGCCGAAGATTCAGAGTGTTGCTTCTGGCACGGTGCAAATTTATAAATTTTAAAATTAAACTTAAAACGAAAGAAATAAGGATGGCCACACACGCCCCCCTTTGATGAGCGGGAACATTCAAGAAAAAACACAAAAAAAAAAACGTCGCCGTATTTTATTTATAAGATAAATATTATGCAAAAAAATGGCCCAACTCTCGCTAATATTTATGCATGCTTAAATAATTTTTTGTCTTCATATTCATAATATTTTTCTCTCTCTCTGATTTCTTTGCAGGGGCTCAACTTGGACAGGCGCCAGGGCGTGGCAGCCTCGTCAACCCTTTGCCATATGCTTTCGCTCAAACGTGCGGGCACTTTCCCCACACCCCCCTTTTAATTAACAATCTATTCGCTTACTCGTGCAATGTGAGAAACTTAAGATCCCGAGACCGAAAGGCAAAAATTTGTCGTTGTATAAATGTATAAAAAAAAGTTGGAGCCCCCCGCCGACGCGAGTAAAATTTAGAGCTCGTGGCCGCCAAAACTCGAGTGACTAATTTGTTGTACGACAACAGCAGCAACAACAATTATGAATATTAACAAAAAATACAAAAACCACTAAAAACAACAACATCAAAAAGTCAGCCAAAATGCGAGCGCTGAAAGCGTGTGCGAACATGAAAATAAAACATCATCATCAGGAAATAAATATTCGGAAAAAAATATACATCGAAATGAATAAATATATAGACTATAGACTAGCATATAAGCATAGCCATTTCTCTATACTCTCTATATATAAATTGTATATATAGATTTCTGCATATATCCAAGACATCCCACCACCGTCCGCGGGGTCCGAGAGACTACAAAAAAGTGGCATTAGGACATTTTCCCCCTACTTAGTCGTCGGCATGAGGCTCGGGGCAGGGGCAGGGGCAGGGCTGAAAGAGAAATATATATATATGTATACATGTGGATATAGAAATATAGCTATAGCAGATATGGCGGCTGTATGCTAAAAGGCATTTGAAGCGAGTGACATTCTTGCGACCAGCTGTTGTCATATTAATCATTAGGTTCCTACAGGGTGTGCCATTTCGGGTGGGGTGGGAGCTCGGATAAGTGTTCGACTAGACCGGAGGCTCGATGGGTGCCGGGAGTAGCCTTGTGCAGACAAAGTTTCAGCTTCAGCCCTCGAGTTTGTACATTAAAAATTGATTGGAATTCCGTCTACGGTCTTGTCTTAGGCCTTGGGCACTCTACTGCTTTTTGTATTCCCAAGAAAAGTACCACAAAAACACCCTGTTCTTAGACAAACGCAGGGTGGGCTGCCCTCATAATTTTTGGAAAATTAAAAGGTAGTATTTTCTGCAGTTTTTCAATCAAATCAATGCCAGCAGAGGAGAACCTCAGTCAGAGACCCTGCCAGTTCCGCATTAAATCGCCACAGAACACGCACAACATCCACATCCACATCAAAATCATAATCGAAAATCAAGAATCAAGAACCATGAACTCAACTTCTGCGTCAGTAAATAAACAAATATTGACTCGAATCGATACGACTGCCAGAAGCATCGGATACTTAGTATGCAAAAGTGATTAGAATCGGGGCTGCGTCTACCAGAAGTATACGTAAATCGAACTAATGTTTTTTGTTTTTTTTTGTGGCACAGTTCCAGAAAACACAACATCGAATAACAATATTTGAATTAGTGGAAGCAGAGTAAAGGAAGCACTTGGCTGAGGCAAAATAAAAATAATTTTGAAGCCAAAGAAATGTTAAAAATAAAACCAAAAGAAATCAGCGAATTTTCGGTGGCACCAACAGCAGCAGAAGCAGCAGCAGAGGCGGCAAGAACAAGAACCGAGGAGGGCGGCCCCCGCAGCAGCCGCCGCAGCAAAAAATGAACAAAATTAAAAAGCAGCCGCTTGGAGCTAGAAAAAAACCCAATCAACGAGCAGCAGCAGCGGCAGGAACTACAAATACAAAAACAGAAGCCGCACAGTAAATAGCCAGGCCCAATCCAATCCAATCCAATCCAGCCAGCCTCCATCAGCAGCAGCAGCAGCGGCCAAAAGCAGCAGCAGCAGCAGCCGCGACAACGAGGCCATCAAGTGAGTGGGTGGCTTTGGCTGGCAAGGACAGCCACGTTGGACGTTGACGTCGGCGGCGAGACACCGACGACACCGACGACTGCGACTGCGACGACGTTGTCGTGGCCAACACTGTCCGGGTCCGGGTCTGGGTCCGGGCCACTTTCGCGAATCAATTTCCGTTGCGGTGGCCGTTTCAGTTTTGGTTTCAACGTCGCCGGCGCTACGCGTGTCGTGAATTTCAAATGGCGGTCGCTCTCCCGCTCCCTGTCCCCGTTTTCGTTGTCGCTGTCGGTGATTCTGCAGGTGTTCGCGTAGGTGTTGCCTGCCCAGCGAATTAACGCGAGACGCGAAACGCGCAAGAGTCCGACCCCTGAGCCGCAGGCCAAGTCCCGAGTGCTAAAAAGTTAAGCAAACCCCGAAAAAGAAAACAAAGTGTCTGAGAAACCAAGTTACAAGTTGTGGCCACTTAACCAACCAAAGAAACGAAACGAAAAGAAAACCAATAAGCCCCAAGAAAAGTCAGACTCTGCAAACTCCCAACCCAAATCCCGACTCATGTTGTTGTGCCCCGATCTTGGCCAGCTGCCGACGGCGGCAGCGGCCTCCGTCAACATGCCGCGGCAAAGGCATCGCACCAGTGCCACAAGGATACGCAAGAGACGCTGCTGCTGTGGCGGCCAGCCAGCGCCGGAGGAGCAACAGCCGCAGCCCCAGACACAGCCACAGTCACAGCCGCAGCCGCAGCGAGGCACAGCGACTCCCCAGGGCAACAGCCCAGTCTGGAGCAGTCTGGCCAGGGTGACGGCTACGGTGCTGACCACCGCGGCCCTGCTGCACACCACGAGCGCCCTGTCCGGGCCGGCCGCCGACGCCGAGCCCGTTGCACTGCCACTGCAGGGCACCTCCACGCCCACAGTCCCGCCTGCACAGCACGTGCTGAATGCCACACATCTGGCGGCCACGCTCTTCAACGAAACCAGTGGCCTGCTGGACGCCGGCTCCTCCCTGGCCACCTTGGCCGAGGACGAGGACTGGCTCGACAGTGTCTTCTGGCTGTTCAAGGCATTCGTCATGCTGCTGATCATCATAGCGGCCATTTGCGGCAATCTGCTTGTTATTATTTCTGTGATGCGTGTTAGAAAATTAAGGTGAGTATACGTAATGTTTCCTAGTCCCACCTAGTCCCTACCACAGCACCACCCTCCTCCTGCTCCCCATCAACCCCTTGCAGCCTCAGCAAGCCAGCAACATGGCCCACGCGTTCTAATTATCTGTGAAAAAGCAATTAGAGCTGCTCCCTCTCCGTGTAATTCATTCGTAATTTGCATAAAACAGCTCCAGCTCCCTCCAGCTCCCTCTAGCTCCCTCTAGCTCCCTCCAGCCCGGACTCCCTGGTCGCCGGGTCCCAGTCTTGATTGCCAATTTGCAGAGCTGCCTCCATGTACCGCTCCGCTCCGCACCCCACTGAACTCTTCTCTTCTGTTCGTAACACTTTAAAAAATTACAGAGCGTTTCGCTTTCTTTGCGCGATTTTCGTCGACTTTGCATAAAATTCATGCACGTCCGCATGCCTCTCCAGAGCTGAGGCTGAAGCTGAGGCTGGGGCATGCCCCATGTCCGCTGGCTGCCTCTCGTTTTGTGCTCATTGCTTCGTCCGTGTTTTATGCAGATTCCTTGTCCCTTATTTATTTAGCTCATAATTGAGCGTCACAGTTTTCTTCTATCCCGCGTTCCGGCATGGCGCTGGCCCCATTTCTCCATTCAAGTGCCCCTCTTTCCGCCAATCTCCTTTCTGCAACAACAAAAGGTCCGAAATGCATTATTTTAATGACAAATTAGCTTTTATGACTTTTTTAATCAGCCAATTTGCATATTAGGGGTTCTTAATTGGAAGCTTTGTTCATGATTTATTTCCGACAGAATATTTTCAATTAAATCAAGGTATGGATTTCACAAGTACTCAAATTTATCAACAAAACAATTCGGGTATAGGTTACAAGTATTCAAATTCAATCAGGTCAGATTTATTTGATAACCTTTTTTGGAAGAGTTTTTCTCTATTCAAAATATCATTAAAATTCCTCCCAATTCCATATAAAACAAAATTTCGCATTTTCCTCTATAAATGTGTGCATTATTGGGCTTGTTTCAGGGGCATTCTTTTAATTTAAACAGAAATTCAATAAATTTTAATTAATTACAAATTTTTATTCAATTTTCAAATCCCTTTCAAATCTGGAAAATAATTCAAACTGAAAAATGAAGCCCAAATGAATTGCTATTATTATTTCGTATTATTAATTTAAACATTCCAAGACTAAATTTATATTAAAAATATTTGAAATGCTTCGGTTCCTAACCATTTCCATATACTAGAGTTCTTATAAGCTTTGCAAGTTTGTCAAAAATAGGCACTATACTTTTATCTAGTTGATGAAAACTATTTAAAGACTATTTAAAACTTCTTAATTAACTTAATTTTGTCCATTCAAATTAGAGCCTTGGCTTACTTTTCACCCGAGTATTCCGAGAAATTAAATAAAGATTCTTCTCCCTCCATTCATAAATAGGAAACTTTTTCAAAACTTTACAACTTTTACTTTTATTTGTTTGGAATTCATTTCCCCACAGACTCAAATCGGAATGTTTTTATTGTGGCAGTTTTCCAGATTTGACGACTGGATCGTCGCTGGGCCCCAATAATAAACAGATAAACCTTCACATTCAAAACTGCTTATCTCCACATCTGTCGCAGATACACAGATACACATGCACACAGATACACATGCCAACATCTCGGTACGACCTCGTTACAGTCGCTGTCAACTGCTGGGGCGGGGGGCTGGGGGGCTGAGCGCCCATCGTTTATAGAGAAGCACATTATCATAAAAAACTTTCGAGTGATAAATGATGGGACGTCGCCTGGCCCTGGTTCGGTAATATTTTTAGTTATGCCTTAATAACCGGCAGGCGAATCAATTTAGCGCTTCATAAAGCCGCTGCCTCTCATCGCCTCCTCAACTGCCGAACTTCGAGGCAATCAAAAGTAGTCTCTGTCTAGCTATTTTTTTACTGTAGCCCCGTGGCGAAGCGAAGAGAGTTATCCTGTCGTTCTGTGGGTGTGTTTAAAAGACAAATAAAATATTATTTTACTGCAAGTAATATAGGTTATTCTTGCGGATACTTTTGCAATTGCAGTTCCATCTAAAGTAACATGAAACGGGTACCGCCTGCAGCCCTTCTTTTCAGTAAACGTTCCAGGGATAATTTTAGCACGGCAAACGAGGAAACTTTAAATGCTCTTAACCAAAGTTTGCGAGGGGCAATGAAGCCAAAAGGCGAAACAAACAAACTTGGCGAAATGGCAGAAAAAAGAAGCTACAAAATTATAATGAAAAAAGGGCGGAGGCAAGGCATAATTAAGGTTGGAAGTCGCTTAAGTTTACTTTTTTTCCGCTGCTGCCGCTGCTGCTTTTGCTGCTAATGAGAAGCATTTTATTTTTTAAGTGACTTGCGTGTCAGTGGATCCAGGTACCCGTTCCCCGTTCCCGTACCAGTCCCAGAGTCAGTCCCAGTCCACAACTAATGGTGACGATCAAGATAATGATGATGTTGCTGTGATAATGAATGGCGGAGCCCCCGAAGGAGTGTGGGGGTCCTTGGAGGCCCTGAATCCGGGCCATAATTAATTTCTGCAAAATGTTTCACAAAAATCCCAAGAGCAGCCAGCCAGCTCCATCTACGAGTAAATGGTCAGCCTTCGAGCAGCTCTGCACAAATTCCCCATTGTTCTAGGCTGCAAATATTACGCATACGCCGCGTGAGGCGGGGCAGTGGAAATGAAAATGTGGAAAAAACGCTCGCAAAAAAACACATAGAAAGGAAAGAAATGACAATTAAACACTGCGAGCATGTTGCTGCTCAAAGCGAAAATGGAACAAAAACAAAATGCATGCAACAATGGCCAGGGGGCGGGGCGGGGAAAAACAAGGGAAAGTATCGGTGGCACGAGGGGGAACGAGCGGCAACAACACACCGCGCGGCAACAACTTTGGCAATTAAGGCAGCTTATGGTTTTTATGACAGCATAAATTTAAAATGTTCTATGCCAAACAATAAAATTTCTGTGTTTTTTTTGTGTTTTTGGCCCGCCCCAAGATGAGCCACAGCAAAGAGTATCTATCTATACGAGTGAGCAAGTATATATATCTAGATATATGTAGCGTTCATTTGCCATTACATTGAGATTGGGGTGGAGGTGGAGGTGGAGGCGAAGGCTCATTAACGCACTTGAAGGATGCTCGGCAACTGTTTCCGCTCTTGGCCAACGGCAGCCAACGGCAGCTGCTTAAACGTGCTGTTTCTTCTAGCTATTTTTCTGAAATTTAAATGGCAGGCAAATTATGGCCCGGGTTCAACTAGAATGCCGAGCGGAGGACGAGACTGACTAATGGCGCAGCATTCGCAAAATGGCGTCGATTTGTTGCAATTAACGGCGAAGGCGTTGAAAGTTATTTAAGCACTAGCCGAGGGCAGGTTGAACGTGAAGGATAAAGGAGCATTGCAGGCGGATTATTAAAGGAGAAGGTTAGAGAAGACTAGACAGCGAAGATAAGGAAACTGTCATTAAAGTCAAAGATGGCTCAGGGTCTAGGGCGACATTTAGGGGAATAATCAGAAGGGGTTCAAGCACTCGATTAGAGAGCCTTTAGAGCTGGCAAGCAAACTCTAATTGGCAAGAGGCACTTGCTTGCACACGAAGTAAAACCCAATTTAAATAACAAAATAGGTATAAGCTGGGCCAACCGCAGCACTCTCTATCTCTCCCAGTTCGTCCTGTCCGTCCCGTTCCGTCCCGTCTGTTGTCCTGCCATTCCGTTCCCCTGGTGGAAATCGTTCGACATCGTTTGCAATTCTTGACTGGCTTTTCAATTATACCCCATGCTGGCACCAGAATGCATCACAAAGGCCCCTGTTGGCAGGAGCTGGCAGTCCAAGCTGTCAACTCGCACAGAAGAAAGCCGCCTTCCCATACCATTCCCCCATTCACCCACTCGCATACACATGTACTCTTGTATTCAGATACGGCCATATCCCAATAGCCGGCCACTCTGGGGCACGGCTCTTCACGCACTCACCCGTACAATATCTTGATTAGCCCGCCCGGGGGCACGATTGTCCCCCCGCCTTTCTATCGGTATTGTTTGATATTGTTCTCTGATTGCTAACATCTCTCTCTCTCTCTCTCTTTATTCTCTTCTCTTTGCAGAGTTATAACGAATTACTTTGTAGTTTCCTTAGCCATGGCTGATATAATGGTCGCTATTATGGCCATGACATTTAACTTTAGTGTGCAAGTAACTGGGCGGTAAGTACAGCGGCAGAAACACACAAAAAACACACACCCTCAGCGCTGGGGCTGTGCAACAAACGGAGGCAAAACTGTTGCAAAAATTACAGCTGCCACTAAAGGCAGCGCCAAACAAAATGCCAGCCAACCAAGGGGTGGTCACTGCCACGGAGGCAGGGGGGGCGGACAGGGATGGGGGCCTGGTGTAGGGCTGCTACAGGGCGTGGCAGTTGCAGAACAAACAACCGAAACACAAAAATCCCTGAAAAATGAAAGCAACGTTTATTTATGCTTCTCTGAATGCCTTTGTCTGTGTGAGAGTGTGTATCTATGTGGCCGTGTGGGCTGTGTGGGCTATGTGGGCTGTGTGGACTGTGTGGACTGTGTGGGCTATGTGGGGGTGTATTACTATGTGTGTGCGTGTGTGCCCGCCTGCGTGAGTGTGTGGTTGTGTGGGGAAATGCAAATGCAGAAAGTCATCTCCCACTATGGCCCCACGCTATGGCCATGTGCGTGCTTTTGTGTTCAAGAATTAAAATGTGAAAAAGAAGAACTAACAAGTGAGATGCACAGCAAAAAAAGGGAGACGCACGAGCCGACTTTGGGATATCCTTTAGCTGAAATGGAACTAAATGGGCTCTCACTGGAGGCTGCATCCAACATCCAACCGTCGTTGCCTACTGTTACACCCTTTCAACATATACACAGATACTTCTCTGTGTGTACACGGAGCACCGACAACTTTGAAATGCTATTCTAAGGGACAAAAACCGTCAGAGTGTGACATGGTCACATCCTTCACGCCAAACGTCCGTCGCGACGGACGAGTCCCCAGTCCGGCTACGACTGTCTATGGCGATGCCAGGCGGTATGCGAGGGATATGGGACACGTATGGGACATGGAGAAGCGAACGCGATGCCAAGTGCTGGCGGCTCCGTTCAGTTAATTATGCATGGGCGCTGATTTAAAGGCCTCGCTTAAAGCCCGACTTTGGGGCCCAGGGACCAATGCAAATGTTTGCAATGTCATTGCCAGCGACAATGATGGGCGTAACGATGATGATAATGATGAGGATGAGGATGAGGACGAGGATGGCGGGGCCAGCCATCCATAATGTGTGCACTTGCTGCCAGGCCAAAAACTTCAGGCGGCAGCCACTTGGCCACGAGAGTTGCATATAAATTGGCATTGGCCGCAGTTGTTGTCGCCCGTTTTCCTGGCACCCAGGCAGCCGCAGAGCCGCAGTGCCGCCTCCACTTGGCATTCATTAGCAATTTCACCTTCACAGTCGCTAGTTGCATAATTGACGCTACTTTGCCCGCGGCATCGTTGCCACTGCCACTGCCACAGCCACAGCCATCCTCATCGTCATAGACATCGCCATCGCCATCGCCATCGCCATCGCCATTGCTGCAGTCACTTCACGGCCCTGCCCGGCTTAAGCGTCAATTCATGACAGAGCATACCCTGCCCTCATGCAACAAAGAATGCCAGCCCGAGTGGAGTGCAGAACCAAATACGCCTACGCCCAAAAGCCCAGACCAGGCCGGAGCATGCCAGGACCAGGCCGGAACAGGACAGAGGAGAGCCGACCAGGTTGGGGCATGCTCACTGTGTGGGCCCCTGAATAGTCAAAAAGTTTTTGAAACTGATGCCAAACGGGGCGCCCGATAATAAATTTCACTGCCTTCTGGCCAACTGGGAGGCGAAACGACGAGCCCAAGAACAAGTTAAGGCTCGAGCCCCGACCAGAGTGGCAACCAAGGGCGACGCAAGTTTTAATGAGTTTTTCATGCACCCCTACCCCGCCCCACCACACAAGCCCCATGGCCTATTTTCGGTCTCTCGGTGCATTTAAGCTTTTAATTTGAGTCTCCACAGTGGCAGTGGCAGTGGCAGGGCAGTGCCTGTGCCAGTGCCAGTTCAGTGCCAGTTCAGTTCAGTTCAGGGGCAATGTCACCTGGCAACCGAAGAAGCTAAGATGAAATCGATAAATACATAAATCAGACCGGCTGATACATATCTAAGAGAAGTGGAGGAGAGCGGGACTTCCCCGAGGTTACGCGCAGTCTGGTCTCCGGGCTGATAGGAAACAGGCACAGCCTACAATTTGGGGCATGGTCTGGCTGGGTGCGGTGCCACGTAGATGCACAACTTTCGCTGGGTGAAAATGGTTTTAAATTCAATTGGAATACCTGGTGGAAGATGCCTGCGATGACTTCATAAAATTATTTATATATCCGAAAAGCAAAAGCCAGAAAGCCACAAAAGGAAGGGAAATTGCCAAATCATGCATTGGATAATCAGATACAATCGGGGGATGGGCTGGTGTGGCCTCTGGGATGCTGCGGATTATTGAGTAATCATTGTGATGATATTGATGTTTCCCTAATCGAACTCTTTCAGCTGGAACTTCAGCCCCTTCCTGTGCGACTTGTGGAACAGTCTCGACGTGTACTTCTCGACAGCGAGCATTTTGCATTTATGCTGCATATCTGTGGATAGGTAATTACAGTTGCTGCCAGCTGCCAGCTGCCAGTGGCAGAAGCCAGCATGTGCACTGGTAATAACGTGGCTTCAACTCTCTGTCTCTCTTTTTTGCTGATGCCTTTTTGCAGATACTATGCGATTGTTAAGCCGCTCAAGTATCCGATTAGCATGACGAAACGCGTGGTGGGCATTATGCTGCTGAACACGTGGATATCGCCGGCCCTGCTCTCGTTCCTGCCCATCTTCATTGGCTGGTACACGACCGACGAGCACAAGGTGTTCGTCAAGGAGAACCCGGAGCAGTGTGCATTTGTGGTTAACAAGTACTATGCCATCATCTCGAGCTCGATTTCGTTCTGGATACCGTGCACCATCATGATTTTCACCTACCTGGCCATCTTCCGGGAGGCCAATCGACAGGAGAAGCAGCTGATGATGCGCCACGGCAATGCCATGTTGATGCACCGCCCATCCATGCAGCCCTCAGGTGAGAGTTCGTCTTACCAGATCCCCCCCTCCATGAGATTGGGCATTTATCAACGCACATCCCCCCTCAATCCATCTCTCTCTCTCTCTGCGGTACAGGTGAGGCAATGAGCGGCTCGGGCTCGTCGAAAACATTGACACTGCATGAGGTCGAGCAGGAGCACACACCCACTAAGGACAAGCACTTAATCAAAATGAAGCGGGAGCACAAGGCCGCACGCACGCTGGGCATCATCATGGGCACCTTCATCCTCTGCTGGCTGCCGTTCTTCCTGTGGTGAGTGTCGGGACTGCTGACATGGGATTTGCGGGCATAATTTATCTAATGTCACGCATGCATAATTAAATATTACTCATACGACCCGTCGTCTGCCTTTGTTTAGGCTGTGCTTTTTGGCAGCCTCCCCCACACACACACACACACAGACGATAAAGAAAACACCGCGACACACTCAATCCCCACAAACATAATCCCATTTATGCAAAAACCCTAAGCTCACTCATGCATCAGGAATTTATGTACGTTTCCCTCTTGCTCTTCCCCCGTGCTCTCGCGGCACAGGTACACGCTCTCCATGACCTGCGGCCCCTGCCAGGTGCCGGATATCGTGGTGTCCATACTCTTCTGGATCGGCTACTTCAACTCGACGCTGAACCCGCTCATCTACGCTTACTTCAACCGCGACTTCCGAGAGGCCTTCCGCAACACGCTGCTGTGTCTGTTCTGCAACTGGTGGAAGGACCGCCACATGCCCCTGGACATCGACATCCGTCGCTCGAGCCTGCGCTACGACCAGCGGGCCAAGAGCGTCTACTCGGAGAGTTACCTCAACTCGACCACGCCCTCGCACCGCCGCCAGTCCCAGATGGTTGACAACTTATAATACAGGAACGAGGCGCTCCTGACGCCGATTGCCCAGCAGCAGCAGCGGCTGGCAGCGAGCGACTCCCGCCTGGCGGTCGCAGGAGGCACTGCAGCAGCTTCGGTCGGAGCAGGGGCAGGGCAACGGCCAGGCGCCGCCACCGGCCCTGGCACCAGACCCACACTCGACGGTAAGGGGGACGATGTGCAGGAGATACAGATCGAAATACCCATGGAGTACATCAACAAATGGAACAAAAACAACAATGCAGCTGCCTCGACGGCCTCCAGCCACGTTTAAGAGATGTGCGGAGAAGAGGAGGATGGATGGATGGATGGGGGGGGGGCATGGAAAGAATCGATTTAATGCAAACAAAATTGTCCATTAATTTGCAAAATTAATATGCGTTCGCGTTGGTTGATTCACTCGTAATGTTGACATTAATCAATCATGCACTGGAGCGTGCCATTTAATTTTGCCCCCCACTGTGGCACTTTTCCATTCTGCGTCTCCAAGAACAGAGCTGTAGGACAATTTGTTAGTCTATGATTTCGAGTCGGTTAAATCCTGTTATCTTGTAAATACTAAATATTTTTGTACGAGTAAATTAAGTGAAGGTTGTAAAATCATTTCTAGCTGAAATTTGTTAAACATTTCAAGCAAAATGCAGAAAATCTATTCAAATGGCAATCACTGCAACACACTGAGCTATATTCGTAGGTCCAGATCCAGATCCAGATCCAGAACCGAATACGAACCATAAACTAGAAGAGCTAATGCTAAAACTGTGCCAATTAACAGACCGCAAAACGTAGACATCTATGGGGGGGACATTGCATCCGGCACATGTCCTTACAAGGGATTTTCCATTCCCAAAAACTGCAATTAGATTCAAAGTCATGGAAGCAAAAGCAAAGCTAAAACCCATTTACGACAATCGCATGAATTTGAAAATGCTCAAAAGATTCGAAAAATATTAAATAAATTAAACAAAAGATATACCTACAGATAAATTAAACATAGCGAAATATATAGTTGTTTCGGACATTTCTAGCATTACCAAGTGGCAGTCGAAATCAAAAGTAACCTCTAGAGAACCCAACCTACGAGTACGTAAGATTAACCAACCAATATAGTCATCGATATCAGATTGCGGACTAAACCGAATAGCAGTGTATCCGTAGTTCGTTTCAGTATCCGTATCCGTTTCCGTGCGTTGAATTTGAATAATGTGAATCGAATCGGGCCTAAGTGCGTGTTCCATAGAGCCGGAGAGTGAGACGAATCAGAGGCAATTGCGTTGCAGTTCCTGGAATTAAGTTGACTGTGTAGCCTGGGAAGGCAAGGCTTGAGCACTGCTTCTGAAGTCAGCAACTTGATTCCAGCAATTGCGGCCCAAGCACAACGCTGAATGGTGCTCAAAATACATACTACATCTAATCGTATTCGTTCGTATTCGTATTCGTACTCGTTGAAACCAAAAAACAACCGGAACCCTAACCAAATTTCGACTATGAAAACCAATTGAAATGCAAATGAGGCAAATAATTGCAGAGCAGACAAAGAGACCACTTTGTGTAAGGAACTAGCGACTCGACTCCATTAAATTATCCACTATTGTAGCAACAGTTTGGAAAACTTACCTATTTATCATTTACTTTACCCTCAACGAGCCACGGGCCGCACAGCGGAAGGCCAAGAGCATTTCTCAAGTTGAGTCAGACGACAAAGAAATAAACAGGGCCGGGGCAAATCCGTTTGTATAGAGAGAAAAACACAAAATTGTTCCAAGTTGTCAGCAACCAGAAATTTCTTAATAATTTGCGATGCTAGTCCCAGAAAAGAAAATACAATTTAAACAAAGTCTTGTCAAAAGCGGAGGAGCGCAGGAGAGAAAGAGCCAAGGCTCGCTATGTACTATATGTAGGGTGTACAAATAGACGTCTATATAAATATAAATGTTATATATCATAGTAAGTATTTATTATACGAGTGTGTATGGCTTTCCTTAAGAAGATGAGAACCCAATCACAACCAAAATCGAATGAATCTCCAAAGAACTTGTTATATTTTTATAAACCACAGAAACCCAAAGCTAAAAAATGTAATATTATATATGTTTGTATCTATGTATATGTACTATATGTCTGTATGTGTGTATATATGTGTGCAAGGTATTTATTTAACAACCAAACTTTTTGTTACACTGTTTCCTTGTGTGTTTGCTGGGCCATTTTCCGTGCAAAAAATACGAGTACAATAGGATCTAGCAGTAAGCCAAACTGAGAAGCAACAAGCAACAAGCAAGAAGCAAATCTAGCCTCGAGTAGAGTCAAGTAAACGGCAAACTAAGCCACTAACTAAGTGAATCTGAAATTCATGTGTATTATAAAGCAACATAACGAACTTCAAGTTGGAAAACATACAGCAAAGCAAAGCGAAACAAAACAGAACATAATAAAATACAATTATGAAAACTAAAGATGTAGCCAAACAAATTGTCTTTTATTTAACCCAGGGACCCAGCCGGGGAGCCAGACGGGGTGCGAGCCGGGGAGCCAGCCGGGGAGCCAGCTGGCAAATACATCTTTTTATTTAGCGTAAGGATTGCCTGTTGACCTGGGTCACAGCAGTCGGGCCCTTTTTATCTCGGGAAAAGTTCTGGACAAACTGGAAGTAAAGTAAATAAAACCGAAATTACCCACTCCCACAGTGCCGGCCAAAAGTACATTAACAGCATATTATCAGCAGAGAAGTAAAGCTGATTACCGCCGGCGACAGTTGTAAACTTCTAAATAACTGTCAAGCCTCGGGTTCGGCTGACAAATTACAAATTTTTACAAAGGCCCCCCCGCCCTGGCAACCGGGCGCCGCCTTGGCTCACGCGTCGAATGAGTGATTTTTATTTGCCCAATGCCGAATGCCGAATGTCAAATGTGTGTGTAATTTAACCGGCGTCATGGCAATGCCAGTCCTGTCCCAGAAAGAGGTGCTCCGTACTTGAGTCTTGGAAAGCAATTTGTCATGAGTCCCGCTTCTGTCTGGGGCGACACACACTTTGAATGCCTTAAATCGCTCGCACCTGTAGGCAAAAGTTGCTGCCACTTCATAGGGAGCTATAAATTTAATTTATTTACCAAAAGGTGACAGACACCACAACGAAAAGTTCCCCAGCAAAGCTGGCCCCACACCTCATCCCACTCCCATCCAGCTCTGGCTCAACTTTTTCAGCATTTAAAAAACTCATAAAGAAAAAATTGTGTGGTCGAAGGGACTCTCCGCAAGCGTTGATGAAAATTTTGTAGCAAATATAAAATTCAAATACTGTCGCGACAGAAAAAAGAAACGAAAAATATATTGACAGGATGGCGCGGGAATTAATTCTGGTTTGGCGACGAGTCAAATTAAATAAATTTGCTGAACTTTTTCAGCTCGTAATACATCAATCAATTCGAAAAAATGGTATGAGACACGGTAAAGCTGTTAGTGTGGGTCCTGTGATCATCGCGATTAAACGCGTTTGCTTTTTCATGGCACTCGGAGAGTGCCACATGCCATTCGTGTGTCTAATATATGGGGAAAGGGAAGTACAGTCCTGTCAATAGAGACATGTTCCAGCTCGACATTAAAGACTACATGAAATGGAAATCTCATTCAGAGAATGTCTATATCCAGTATACTCCATGGGTAACAGAAAGTCGACCATCTTCTGTGGCTGGATACCCCTCAACTACATATATTGAGCTGTGCAAAACCACACTGGAGATTGGCATTATAAATGCAAGTCAAAAGCAAAATTCATTCATCAAAGTCGAAAGTCGATGGGGAATCATATGAAATCTCTAGGACGCACTCCACGGCACGGCAATGCTTGTAAGTGAGTGATCCCCGATGCCATTGAGGCATTCATCGCTCATAAGACCCGCCAAATTGGGCCGTGACAAGTGACAGACACGCGTCGGGTGCCACAGACAGAGGCCACTACCTTCGTTCCTCGGTCGACGGTCGACGGTCGCCGTTCGCCTTATGGCTCATCAGCATTTCAGCATTTAAGGGCACACAATGAGCGTCAAATAGTCCTGCACCTTATCAGTAAGTCAGTCAGTCAGTCACTCAGTCCGTCACTTAGATGGGGACTACACAACTGTCGGTGACACAGCGGCAATCGTGGAATCAAATTCAGTCTCTTCTGTATATTTTTATGAAATTTTAATAACTTTGACATGTGCTCTGACAAGCGCTCCATCGGAGGACCCATCGCCGTACCCCTACCCATGCCCGTGCCCGGACTCGTAGTCGTAGTCGGAGCCGGCATATTGCTTTCGTCAGCTGGGAGTGCTGTGCTCTGCTGTGTGCTACCTATTGTTGTTGCTATCATTTCTGCTGTTGCATGTTGTGTCGTCCTGCCCCGCCCTGCCCCTTTGTTGTTTCTGATTTGCACGACATGAACACGAGCTGAAATAACAAATCTTTTCTAGATTTACGCACGCGGCTGTGTGTGGGGGGGTGTGTGTGAGTTTATGGTGGCATCACAATATTTTTATTACAAATGCAAATATTGACGCCATGCAGGGGGGATGTTGGGATCCAAGGGAAGTACGAGTAGTAGTTGTCCTGTCTCCGACTGCCTTGGGGCCTGCTGTTGATGCGGCAAATTCGGCAGCGAGCGAAGCAGCCAGCGATTGGGCTCCAGGGTGGTCTGGGGGAGGCTGTCCTGTCCCACATGGGGCTGGGGCTGGGGGGTGGCACAGCTGATGCTGGTAGGGTTGCTCAGAGCGGAGTAGATGGGTTGTAGTAGATGTTGCCCCCGAAAGGCAATACCCCAAAAAGGATGCATTGGATTAATATTCAAAAATGAATCCCTATTGAGCTGTTTCCTAGGTCCAAGAACCTCTTTTTGTTGTATTGACAGACTACTAATGTTCCACAATCTACTACCTTTCAAAGCATCCCTGCTGGCCATTTGAAATTCCCTTTTCCCGCCACACGCCACTGCGCAGAAGCTCTCCCTCCTTGAAACGGCTCTCCGGGACTCGAATTCGCCGGGGCCTGTGTGGAAATGCCGCCAAAGGACTTGGCACGTTGCCCATCATTCAGTTTGCGGCCAGTTACCAGAGCAGGCGCCCACCACAACGCATCGCCATCTGGCTGAAAGGCTCACAGGCTCTCAGGCTCTCAGGCTCTTAGGCTCACAGGCTGTGGGGCCAGTAAATACAACAAACAAACCCCCAACGTAAAGCAATCGAAACCTGTGACCACTTGTCACACATGCTCGGCGGAAAGTAACCCAAAGTGCCAGTGACAGTTCTGGGTATTGTGTGTGGGGCACCGGGGGGCTCTCCTCAGGCCCGGCTGGGGCATCGAATTCTAGCGGAGCTCGCGTGTGCGTGTTTCGATTTCGTGGCACTACTAAAACCGATACAAAACTCCATTTATGTGAGACCTGACTTCTGAAAGAGGTCCTGTTCCGTTGCCTGTGCCGTTGGCTGTGAGGCGGCGTCTTGTACGTGTTCTGTGCGCCGCTCTGCTGGCCAAAAGAAACCAAAACGTGCGGCAAATTGCGGCCAGTTGGCGGCAGAAACTGCTGCTGGGCGGGGAAATCAAAAAAGCAAAAGAAGGAAATTCCAATTTAACAAATCGATTTCGGGGCTTTTTTATAGTCCAAGGCGGACAGTCGTATAAATAGAGCCAGTGACAGGCTAATGACAAATTAAATTGTTTGAACAGCCAGCAGGAAAAGCAGGAAAAGCGGACAAGGAAAAGCGGCCGCGGGCATTAAAAAATTACGAAGCGCGCGTGTGAAAACTTTGAGCTGTTATCGGCCAAAACAACAGCAACAATAAACTGCGATAAAAGCAACAAAACAAACGGGAAAAAGTTTCTTTATTTTTGGTTTTATTCGAAGAGTCGCCCCCGAAACGCCCAACGTTGCCACACGGCCGCACGGCCACAGGACGACCATCAAACAGCAGAACGCAAATCAAGAACGACAATGACGGCGTCGCGGCTCCCGGGCTCATCCTGCTGCGTCCTGCCGGCCCTCCATCAGATCCGGACGCACCGAGCGTGTTGAGCAAGTAAGCAAACAATAAAAACTTTCGCCCCGGCCATGCGAGTGTTGCCTACTTGCAGGCGCAGCACGTGAAACGGAAAAAGAGCACAGCAACACACACACACACACACAGACAAGGACACTGGGAGAACGGGATAGAGCACAGGACCCAAGACAGACCCCACAGAAAATAACAGAACAGCAAAAGAACAAAACGGAAACACATTGAGCGCCATTTTTAGTGGTTACGTAAACGGGAACTGCTGTCTATGTACTTAAAAGGGCCGTCACCCAATGCTAAACCTTGTTCAGACCCAACCCTCGCCCTCCTCCTCCGTGCGGGTCTGGTGTCTGGACAGCACGTTGCTCTGTCTCTTAATAAAGTTAGCAGCGTTAGTTGTCTGACACTTTGCATACGTACGCTTTCAGCCGTCGCGCCGTTTGGCTTGGCCCAGGTCCCGGTCCCAGGTCCCAGATCCCAGGTCGTCTCGCTTCCTAATGATACAAATCGCACCACTAACAGTGGCCTGGAGATTCGATGAAAACAGAATTAAAAAACTCTCAGGTAGTTTAGATTTAGATGAAGTTCTGGGGATACCAGATAAATGTGTTTGTTTTGGGTCTAGCACTCGGCGGCATCGATTTATTCTACAAGGAACAGTGGTTGCAAACTAAATGAAAGAAAACAGAATTAGGCTTACAAATGGTTTTCAATTTCTGTCAATTTATACCAGCAACAATCCCTATTGTGAGTCTATGAAAAGATCTAGGAACAACAGAACAAATGAGCAAGCAAAAAGAGTCCTAACTAGCTGTTCGTTGGACCCTCTTTGAGCAAAGTAGTACCATCAATTCCTGGATATAAATCATACAATGAACAGCGATTACATTGAATAATGAGAGCAGAATAAATAGGGATTTCTTTAATGTATTTAAAACAATTTTTAAACCAGTTCTAGTCAAATCTCTGAGAATTGATTGATTTGGTTTAACCAAGAGCCAGAATAGGTTAAGATCTAAGAATTATCTAAGGTTGTGTTGAGCGGGCTAGAAGAAGAATAATCTTATCGAATCGATTGAATTGGGATTTTCATTTTTCATGCATTTGGGATTTCAACTCTTTTGATTATACTCGTAGGTTTTTGTGGAATCGACCAAAATCACCGCTTGGCCCGAAACTTTTTTATTCGATTGCTGGCACCCCATTTCCCGTGGATAGTTTCTGCCAGTCCCGGATCACAGTGCACAGGAGACTGGGTTCATGCACTGCCTGATACTAGCACTTGGCTGCTGCAGATTCTGGGTTGCGATGCCATTTGGCATTTGCCACTTGATTCGCTGCCGGACGGCCCTCGGAGGCGGGCGCCGTAGACCCGCCCCCAAGTGGCCGTTCGAGTCTCACCTTTGAGCAGCCAGCCTTTGGCCTTTTTTGTTGCACTTGTGAATGGGTTGCGACTTGGCTCTGGCTCTGGCTCCGGCTCCGGCTCGGGCAATCGATTTTCTTGGCCAGGGCTTGCACACAAGGCTGCACCAGCATTTAATTGAAATTCGGCTGGCTCGTTGTTCAAATCAAATTTAGCAAAAGCCCTGAACTACACGTCAGCCCTGTCCCGTCTGCTGCGCGGTACAACCGACACAGAAACTTTTATTCCAGCATCGACGGCGAAACTACATTGCCAGAATGGAACAGAATAGAACTGAAAAAGCAGACACACACGTACTAGGGCAGACAGATAGACAGATAGACAGAAAGACAGAAAGACAGATAGACAGACAGACAGTGGGAGATTGTCATGCACAAATTGAAACTTTTCAAGTTACGCTCGAAAAAGTTTGAATTCCACTAATACAGTGGGGTTTTAGATTGTATAGTTCCAGATACAGACATGTGCACACGTCTATGGATGTTTTATTTGCTGGAAAAACTTTCGAATGGTTTCGAATTCAATGAGATTTGTGCACAGACCGTTACCCATTCCATGTGTAAGACAATATGCCGCATCCTGTCCCGATCTACTCTGTTCTGTTCGTTTCTGTCCTCTCCTGATACGGCTAATACCCTTAAAGCCGGCAAATATTTACGCATAAATGTTTTAAATGTAAATGCCTCTCCATTCATTCTGGCAATATCTCATCGGCATCCCCATCCCCATCTCCATCCCCATCGTCTCGAATGTCTTTCGATAAATGGCTGGATAAATGATAAATAGAATGAATGCCTTTAGGCATTTCTGTGTGCCTTCTCTCCCCTGGACGGAGTGTGTTTTTGTTGTTATGCCGATTGGCTCGTCTGCTCGGATTTGGCTCTAAGCTAATCAGATTCATGGCTGGCATAATGATGCGATGCACACCATAGGCTGCGTTTCTGATTGAAAATTTAATTAAAGAAAGCTGTCAATGGATCCGGAGAAAACATTGACAGCATCGGCTCTCCTCCTCTTCGATTCCGGCGATACTCTCAGAGCTATAAATATTCAGGTTTGGCTCTCAAATGGTTTTTATTAACCACAAATCGTTCACACCTTGCTAAAAGTTCCCCCAAAATACCCAACCAATCCGAGCCGATCGGATCCGTGTGCAATGACCACAGGACTTTTAGGCTGTGTTGCACACCATTTGCTGCTCAATCGATGAAAGGCTTCAGGAAAACACGTCAAGTGTGGCATCGGGAAACAAAGAAACGAGGAAACCACAAAAAGCAATACACAGACCTTGATTCGGTTCCCAGTTTGCTCAATCAGCTAAGCAAATATTTGCAGCCGAAGCCGGAAATATGCCCAAGAAAGCATTTAAATCAGTTTCGCATTTTGCTCGGTCCCTCGACTGGAAACGGAAATTCCCCTTCGCGTATTTTACTGGCCGCTAAATACCATGAATGGTATTTGCCATCGACTTAACCCGGGCCCAAAAGGAGCAACGAAACTAGCAAATTAATAACATTAGTGGCAGGCAGGGATTCCTCCTGCTGGTCCCTCGTCTTGTGGCTGGTTCGTGAGCCCAGGCGACAATGCCGGATTGGCGGCTCAACGCTTTTCTCATTAGAAAGACTTCCGTTTGGGGCTGGGGCCGGGCTAGGGACTGACACAGAGCCGCTCTGAAGATGCCACAATTCACCCAGCGACGGCCATAGCCAGTGTTTATGTCATTAAGTGCCGCCCGACACTCAGAGACATCTGTCCGTGCCCTCGGCATGCCTGGAATTGTCTTATTTGTGTGGCTGGCTGGCTCTTTGGGACAGATTATTGTTTAGAATATTGTAATGTGGCAAAGCCAAATAAAGTGGAGTGGCTGCAATGCAGAGCCCGAGGGTTGTCGGAGCGAAAGATAGCAATCTTTGAGTTTGTTTTAAATATATAGATCCAACGATTAAGAGGCGTTTTCTTAAGTCTTCAGTCAATCATCAGACAGTACCACTTGAGAGCCAGGCAAATATTACAGCTAGAATCTATCACGACTTTGTGTAAATCCTCTGTTTTACTTATACTTCCAGGAATCTTTGAAGTCCTGTTTTAATCCTGCCAAAAATGATTTCCCCAAGTAAACTCAAACTTCCCCAACTCCACTCAGGAGTCGAGTTTTAAGAGGATTGTCTGTATTTCAAGGGTTGAGCTGGGCAAATTCCCCAAATGCCAGCCGGCAATGGTGTCCCGGGCCTGAGCGAGCCGCCTGCCAAATGAAGTTCCACTCTCACACTACTCGAGGAGGAGAACTTTTCGGTCTGCCCTCGTTCGCCTGGCAGCTTAAGTATCCTTCATTCGACATGTTTACTTTGCCCCTCTCCTGGCCCCTTGGCTTGGCTTCACTCCACACTGCTTTTTGTCTTGCCGCTGGTTGGCTGCTTGCAACTTTAGAAACCATTGAGAAAGCCTTTTGTGTGTTAGTTAAAGGTTCGACGCAGCCCAGCTCCGCTCTGCTCTCTCTTTCCGTTCTTGCCTCTTTTTTGGGTTTAACTTTCATTTTTTTGTTGTGTCAGGCATGTGTAGGGGAAGGGCTTTGCGCTGCTCGCTCGACCCATAGGCCCTGTCGGCCTAGGCCATTGTCTCCCAGGGCGTTCTTTTTTCGTTATTTTTTTCCCCTGCTGCTGCTGCTGCTGCTGCCATAAAACTCTATACATATATTATTTATGCTATTATTGATTTTATACATGGGTTCAGTGGAGTCAGAGGTGGACCCCTGGGGCAGGCACCGCCGCTGCAGATTAACGTGTCGCCATCGCCGGGCGAAAAATGGAATCATTCTTCAACAAAATGTATAACCAACTTCGCGAGAGCTCATCAACTTTCCTTTGAGCCGTGCAATTTGTAAGTCTCGACCGAAAATTGAAGAAAAGAAAAACGACAGAGAGAGAGAGAGAGACGACAATGTTAGTTGCGGTCTCTTCTTTCAATTTATTTTGGTAACACGCGGCGGATACGCAACTTCAACTAAGTTGCGGTCTTTGCAGGCAGGGTTTTGCCCCAATGCGGTCAAGGCATTTTCATTTTCATTCTTTGGCGGTTCGGACGGCTGCCCAGCCAGTGACTTTTTGCCTTCTTTTAATTTCGACTTTTTTAACAAAGTTAACCAAATGTTCGGAATTGAATTTGGGACCAGGCCCGAATCATAAATGGTCACTCGGGCGAACTCCTCCTAAGTACACAGCCCCCTCCACTCCGTTCGGGGCTGGCCTACAGTTTATTTACACTGCTAACGCCTAAATTAAATTTTAAGCTGTTGATTTGCATTTCCAGCCCTTGCGAGCCCCTACCAGCCCCCTCATAGACCAGCCCCACCCCCCACGGCCCGCAGCTCAGGCTCCGCCGCTCCACGTTCTACTTCGCAGATGCGATGCGGTGTTTATTGAACCCTGATTATGTTCAGCAGCGACGAAGCGAGAACAGGCAAAGGAATCAACATCAAAATCAGAATCCGAATCAGGCACAGGCTCATTAGACTTGGCTGAGAGATTCCAGAGAGTGGGTGGAGGGGTAGGGTTTGGGGCCAAGTGCTGCCAGGGAAAATGGCTTCTAATTAAGGAGCTCACAC